CATTGCCGGTACCAGAGGATTTATTTGCGAAACTGAATGGGGGTAAGTATTTTGCGAAATTAGACCTATCAGACGCTTATCTACAGATTCCGGTAGCGGATGAGTGTAAGCATTACTTGACAATAAACACTCACAAGGGATTGTTCCGATATAACCGACTTCCTTTTGGAGTAAAGACTGCCCCTTCAATCTTCCAACAAGTTATGGACACTATGTTACAAGACATTCCTGGTACCGCGGCTTATCTCGATGATATATTGATCATGGGTACAGACTACGCTGATTTAGAGAATAAGGTGGATACGGTTCTCAGACGCATAGCAGGTTATGGATTCAGACTGCGTGCCGAAAAATGTGATTTTTACATGGAGCAAGTCCGGTATTTGGGATTCATAATTGATAAAAACGGGAGAAAACCTGATCCTGAAAATGTCGAAGCCATTAAGTCCATGCCTCCACCGACGGATGTGTCAACTTTACGTTCTTTCTTGGGAATGGTTAGTCATTATGGAGTTTTTCTGCCAGATCTGCATCGCCATCGTGCTCCTCTTAATTGCTTATTGAAAAAGGATACTAAATGGTTCTGGTCAACTGAATGCCAAGAAGCATTCCTAAAACTGAAGCAGCTTCTATCATCGAACCTTCTCCTTACACACTATGATCCCGATCTTCCAATTATAGTCGCAGCAGATGCGTCGAACTACGGAATTGGAGCAGTAATTTCACATGCCTACCCTGACGGGTCTTAGAAAGCAATCACTCACGCTGCGAGATCTCTGACTATGACTGAAAGAAACTACAGTCAAATAGAAAAAGAAGCCCTCGCGATTATATTTGCTGTAAAAAAGTCCCACAAGATGTTGTTTGGTAGGCAGTTCACCTTACTTACAGACCATAAACCTTTACTGACAGTTTTTGGATCTAAAAAAGGCATCCCGGTATATACAGCAAACCGGCTACAGAGATGGGCTACCACACTGCTGGGTTATGATTTCAAGATAAATTATCAACCAACAACGGATTTCGGACAGGCAGATGCACTCTCAAGATTGATTGGTCTGCATGAAAAACAAGAAGAAGAGGTGCTTGTAGCTGCTATAGATGTCGAGGCCGAGGTTCACAAAATATTGTCAGACGCAGTTTCCGGATTCCCGGTCACATTTGAAGCCATTAAAGAGGCCAGCAAGAAGGATAATGTATTAAAGATTGTTCGCCATTGCATACTCAATAAATGGCCTTCATCTAGATTACACGGAGAACTCTTACAATACTTTCGTCGACGCGAGTCATTAACAGTTGTCGATTCATGTATAATGTTTGGCCATCGTATCGTTATCCCCAGAAATCTTCGACACCAAGTCATTAAACAGTTCCACAGCGGGCACCTGGGGATAAGTAAAATGAAGTCACTAGCTCGTAGCTATGCATACTGGCCGTCAATGGACCATGAGATAGAGCAAAAATGTCGCAGCTGTTGGTCCTGTCTAGAGGTTGCAAAGAATCCAACGAAAGTTGAACCACAACCATGGCCGAACCCGGACGGGCCTCGGCAAAGAATACATGCTAATTTCGCCGGGCCAATACAAGGCAGGAATTACTTAGTTGTTGTAGATGCTTTCACAAAATGGCCAGAAGTATATGTCATGCCGAATACGACTTCAGAGAGTACCATAAGAAGATTGTCAGGATTGTTTGCCTGTTTTGGGGTTCCAGAGATCTTAGTGACCGACAATGGTACTCAGTTTATGTCATCCGCCTTCAAACGCTTCTGCAACGAGAATGGCATATTGCATCTACAATCTCCTCCATACCATCCTCAGTCGAATGGCCAGGCAGAAAGATTCGTGGATGCAATTAAAAGAGCTCTGGTCAAAGGGGGAGGTGAGGGTGTCCCGGAACAAGTGATTAATAAGTTCTTGATGTCTTACAGAGTTACCCCTAATCCGGCAGTACCAGAAGGAAAGTCTCCGGCCGAGTGTATGTTCGGAAGGAAAATCCGGACAGTTTTTAACAGTATGTTGCCGCCCAGAAAGACAAATAAACCCACAAATGAAAATCGTAAGGTCAATCGTAGCTTCCAGGTGGGTGAAAATGTACTTGTCAGATCGTATCAAGGTAATAGGAAGTGGGAACCAGGTGTCATAGAACGTCGAATCGGAAATGTGTTGTACCTAGTCCGGAAAGATGTCGGGAAATGCATAGGACATATAAATCAAATGCAAAGAAATGATAGTACAGTGGTCAAAGAAAACCGGCTTCCATTTCAATTGCTCGTAGATTCATCTCAGAAGAACCATCATGAGCGCGAATATCGAAAAGACAAACGACGCAGAGAGAAAGCTGTACAACCCTCGAGAGTAATGGACCGCAAGAGGAATGCGACACCCAAGCTTCAGGTGGATCCAAGAAAAAAATCTTACACAACGGATTTTAAAGGGGGGAGGTGTGACGACGGACCACCGATGAACTCGAGGAAGCTGTAAGAGGCTCAGAAGGAGCCGAAGACGTTCCATCCAATCACCTGTCGGAAGAATGTTCTAGAATTCCAACGTGTAGCTTCCCCATTGGATAATGCTAATAACCCCCTGTACGCGGATTGGAAGACTGTAATGATGATTTCGTTCTCACTAAAAACTATAAATACCTGATAATTTTGTACTATGTTTGACACTGTTTGGAATAATATTCCTTTCGTTAGTCTTCTGTCTTCTTATTGCGACTTGGAGGGGTTTGGTGTTCTAGTGCTCAGTTATACGCGGTTGTATCAAGAAAAATCAGCTTTTTCAAGTTATAACACATATCAGCTTATCTTCAAATTGACACGGCATCAGATATCACGTTAGTGTCTAGAGAAACGTATAACTTGCTGGGTAAACCGCCAATGAAGCCATCTAAGAAAACCGCTAAAAACGCATCAGGTGGTGTGCTAAAACTGGTTGGTGAATTACAGTGTGAATTTTCCTTCAATGGAACTAACTGTACAGGAATATGTTACCTAACAGAACGGCCGAACCTTGATCTTCTTGGTCTAAATATGTTAGACAAACTTGGAATAATGGATATACCAATTAACAGTGTCTGTAACGTATCGCGTTCATCATTGGACACCCCAGTACTTCCAAAGAAGACAGGTGATAGGTTACTAGGAAAACCGAAAAGAAAAATACGAACACATTTCGATGTCATCCGTCCTACGCCAACTATTGAACCCCAACGAAACCTATCGATGGAGAATCAGTTCAACCGACATCATGGGGCACAAAGACGATTGTTCACGGTGGGACAAAAAGTACTTGCTATGGACTATCGTGGAAAACATCCTACATGGACAGCTGGTCGGATCTTGAAAAAGAAGGGGAGTGTGGTTTACGAGGTGTCAGTTGGCTCAGAAGTTTGGGTACGTCATGCCAACCAATTGAAAGCAACTTCGATAGCCAGCAACAAGATTCAATATCGATTACCTCTTGATGTTCTGCTAGACACCTTTGAAATCAAAACGCCGGGAATAGATACATCAGTTTCTGTGCAAGAAAAGAGTGATACTTCTCTATTGCCTAGACGATGGACTAATCGAAAGCACAGGCCAGTCACTCGGTTGCAGTTGGACCCTAGCACCAGATTCTACGAATCTGCTCAGAGGGGAGGTGTTAGCGGGACATAGACTAGATTAAAGCATGCTCAATGCATGATTGCTTTGGTGCACGCTGATTGGCTAATTCTTATCCAATCAGCACTAGTCGATAGTTGGAGAATACTCTGGAATCTTCTTATGTAAAAACTATAAATATACTGACGTTTTTCCCTATTGTGCTTCTGACTTGCTATTTGGAATATAATCTCTTTCCTGTTCAACCGTGTTCTGATTTGGGGACTTGTCGAGTGAATCGGTGTCCAAGAATACTAAGCAATAGGAATAGCTGGGTCATAACCGTAAGAAGAAAGAGATTATAACATTATCATTACGTAAAACGAGGTGATGACGTATATCTGATAGATCCATTGGCATTATAAACAAAATGTGCACAGAATTTTGATAGTAATCGGACGACTATCATTTTTCTGTTTGATTAGGAAAAAGAGTTCTCAAACTAAAACAATTAACTTAATTATCAGAATGTGTTTTGTGGAGATTTTTAGAAATTCTCACAGATTGAAATCATGAGTCAGTTGAAGCTAGACCACCATTGAAAACCTGGAACCACTGAACGGCCGTTTCGTCCTGGTATGGGACTCCTCAGCAGTGCGCATCCACGAACCCGCACCACCCGGGGCTCGAACCCAGGACCTACTGGCTTCGCGCGCGAGCACTTAACCATTAGACCACTGAGCCGGCATCCAACGGTGTTAATGTCTAACTTCAACCAATCCACGAAGTTGCGCTACCGTACACCATTGTCTTCAGTGAGTTCCTATCTCACAACAGACCTGGTTGAACTCCACTGGTAACGACATCTCACTAGAACTCCAGAAGTGTCTCCTGAAGTCAGTCACTAGTGAGCAGGTGATTATTATTATCAGAATGTGTTTTGTGGAGATTTTTAGAAATTTTCACAGATTGAAATCATGAGTCAGTTGAAGCTAGACCACCATTGAAAACCTGGAAGCACTGGATGGCCGTTTCGTCCTGGTGGTCTAATGGTTAAGTGCTCGCGCGCGAAGCCAGTAGGTCCTGGGTTCGAGCCCCGGGTGGTGCGGGTTCGTGGATGTGCACTGCTGAGGAGTCCCATACCAGGACGAAACGGCCGTCCAGTGCTTCCAGGTTTTCAATGGTGGTCTAGCTTCAACTGACTCATGATTTCAATCTGTGAAAATTAACTTAATGCCAGTTGACCTGCAGTAAATTTTATACGTTGCTGTGTGGTGAATTTCATGCATTTAAGTTATCAGATGGGGCCGTAGTATAGTCTGACCAAAATAATCAAAAACGATAACTTTATACGACTCAGTTAAAATAATTGATAATTTCGGTAACATGATAGTAACAATATGAGCTGTATTACCTCGATTTTTCGCCAGTTTTTCCATCCTCAGATAAAGATTGATTGGGACTTTTTGACGTGTTTGATTTCTTATTCTTTTTTTGCTTCTTGGACGGGGTACTGGTTGCATTCACTTTCAAATTTGACAGACTGTTTATTGCATTGTGTTGAAGATTAACAAAATAATTCATAGAATTACCACAAAGGCGTTCTGATTCAGATAACGCTAAACCAGGTGGTTTGCCTGACAGTCGTTGTTCTACGTACAGTTTCAGTTGCCTATAGTTAAGTTATAAAAATAAATAAGTGTATTATAAACTCTCTAAATGCAATGACAATAATAAACTTGTTCGCTCACTTTAACCACTTCTCGAGTTTGTGTATGTAATGCGACGGTTATAGATGACAGAACAATAAAGTGTTACGGGCAAAGCTAGAGAAAATTAGATCAAGATGATTGAGTTGGTATTGTGAGGTCACTAACTACTAGGTAATAGTTGTGCTGTAAAATGAAGACTTAGTGGTCCACATCTAAAGATTCCATGTGATAATTGGTCGTTGTAACACAAAAGTAATTATTCTTTATCTTCCTCTAGTTTTTCCCTCCTACAGTTTCTTTAGTCCTTCCATATTGTTGAGATCATTATTTTTAAACACATCGTCCCACTGAGAATACTGAATCTAATTAAACTTTGGGACGGCAAAGGTCGTACAGTCACGTTAAACATGTGACTAAAAAAACATGCCTAAATATAAACTACAAAGTTTGATCTAACCTTAACAGTTGTAATTCAATATTTGTATTCCATATAGGTTTTTATGATTGCTAGGGTACATGTGATACGGAGCATTTACGCTGGCTAGAAATGGATTCAAAGAACATTTATGGGACATTGTACAGCAAATACAAACGCCAGTAATTTGGAGATATATATTTCCACTATTGAACTTGTCACAAAAAAGAAAGGACCGCTATCGCTAAGCGGAGTAGCATTCCAAGTTCACAGAGTTCTTACAATACTTACACCTCGGTAACAAAATTCAACTTGATTTGAATTGTCATGAAAAAAGCCTGGCTGGATAACTATTGTAATTAAATGTAGTTAGTTATGTGCTCTAGTTTAGCATGAAGTAAACATAGAAATTAGTGAAGTGCAGTTGAAACGTGACTAACAACTAGGCTTCATTGCATAGCTTGTAGAGCACCTGACCGGTAAGTGAAGGACCACTGGTTACAATGCTATCCAGACCCTGGTGTTTGGATTTACAGAATTATCCTCATTAGCAAAACTCAACTTGGCAATTAAAGTTATCTTAGATAGCCTAATCCATAAGATAAGAACCTAGCATTGTTTAAATATAAGAAAATTACATCGTCCCATTTTCCCATCAAATGATGAATAATAACCCAATAAAAAATGTTCATCAATATTTTACTCAGTTTTGTAAAATCTAAATAGAGAATGGGAAAAGGAGGAGATACTTGGTGAAAAGGAAGTGGGAGTACTAAAAAATTAAAACTTTAAATGTACGATTCTTGGTTAAAAAGCGACTTTTGAAAATAATGAACTAGTCTAGTTCAGAAACAGAAGGAACAAGGGGAAGTATCTAATAACAATAAACAGATTTTGACTGAAAAGATTGTGCTCCGACACCAGTCAGTTTACTCGCTTTCCATCACAAGCAAATCATTGTGTTTATGTATGCAGGTAGATTGAACTCATGATACCTACACGGTAAGCTCCACTTATCTCTCTTTGTTAATGAACAAACTTGTTTGTGGTGTGGACAGTAAATATGTTTCAGTAATAAGCGGAGCAATGTCTTAGTGAGTAAAGGATTCAACTTTAAACCAATAAGTTGCAGTTTCGAACACCACCCAAGTTTGGACATTGAATTTGTGCCACGATACGCCTACACAAACCTATAATACGTAAGAATCAACATACAATTCTAGTAATTTTCTTTTCAATAATGACTTAGATTACGTTATTGGAATCATGACTTCCGGATAAACAAACATGAATGAAAAGATTACTTTACATAGGTTAAATGGAATAAGTATATCAGTTACTGCATAGAATAAGACTAATGGGGAAGATTATAAAAACCAAATCAATAAAAAATAATATAGAAATGAGACATACATCGTCGTAATTATAAAAATCCTTTTTTTTATTGCATTAATATGAAGTGAATCATATACTTACAAGTACGTTAAATGTGAGAAATCACGAAATTACATTGTAAAGTTGAAAACAAGTTACATAAAATTTATGAGCATTAATAGTCCTCAAAACCAACTAAAATGCACGTTCGCACACGAATAATGACTAACAATATATCTTTATTATCGTTTGCTTGCTGACCAAACACCAATATGTGTAAATAAAGCTCATTATTATGTATTCATTTGAACACAAATATATTGATACAAGAAGGCACCAAATACATATGCGCCACACAAATCTCATTTGATTTGTGCGAGAGCTGTGATACTGCCCGGGTGCCAAAACCGAAACATGTGGTTTTCTTAGGGGGCCACACTCATAGCCTACGACCTACAGGTCTGATCCACAAGGCAGTGAAGCAACGCAAGGATATGCAGTCCCATGATAGCCGGTGACCAATAATTGGTCCATACGCCGTTTGTTCACTCAGGATACTGGAGCCCATGTGCACCATTGATTTGTAATCAGGGTTGTCCAACTCCCCTAGGCTGACCCTTCGTGTCCATCAACCCGGTTAAGGTGTCGGACATCCACCTTTCGTCCTCTCAACTTCGTAAAAGACAGTGAGTAAGACTTCACTGTCAGTGGATGTATACGCGTAGTCATATGAGAGCATTTCGAGAGCGAGACCGGAGTCTTGCCACCCTCGACTGTACTAAAGCACTGGGGGCCAATCAGAGTGCACTAACACAATCCTGCACTGAACATTTTTAATCCAATCCCTATTCCGCTAACACGTACGTGTGCTGGGATGATCCTTTAGCTCCCGAACAGTAGATGGTTTTTCTAAGAGCCCACTTCTTTTAGCCTTTGATCAACAAGGTGGCAGAGCAATGTGTCACGGTAACCAATGACCGAAATAGGCTAGCAGTTCATTTTTCGTCTCAGGATCATCGAGTTCATGTATCCTATTGGTTTGGGGTCAAGGTTTTCATACTATCCTGGTTGAACCGTCCGTATGAACTAACCCAGTTTAAGCTTTGGATGTTCGCTGTTAGACATCTCACTTCCGTAAAAACATCTAAATGTGAAGGCTGTAACACTTTTATAACAAAGGACATAGGCGTGTGATCTTGTGAAAGCGTTTCGAAAGAAAGTAGAGTTCCCCTATTACCGGTAGTACTACAGGTGAGGTGGTTACTTTGTCACAAGGAACCGAAGTCATGGTTAGATTTTATCGAATAATTTCGGTTAACGGATGAAGGAACATAATATCTGCTGGCCAGCAAACGAAATTACTATTAGAAAAAAGACTGTGGCTGTCTGTAGGGAAAAAACTAAGATATATAGATGCATTAAAGCCAATATAGAGTACTACATAAATTTAGTTTTTGGAAAAACCCCGCGAATTACAGTGACTACAATTTTGATCAGTAAGGCCCCGATTCCGAAAAGACATTTCACTAGCTTGTTATGTTTTCTTACGATAATAACACATAACTCACTCCTGTTAACATAAAAGACAGGATGCACATATCAAATCACCAAATCTTTAATCAGAACACTAGAAAGCAGATGAGCGATTACATGTACATTTATTATTTTGATCTATAACGGATCATATAGATACAAAACGAGATGACATTGAATTACAATATGCACCCAGCCAGAATATTTTACTAAAAACCTATGTCATGCATTTACAGTTTATTACGCGTAGATTTATGAAAGTAAAGATACATCGATAATTAGCCAGTTGAAACGTCTATTGGTAGGATCATAAGGAAATACAATAAATCAACTATTTGAATGATACTTCTCAAGATTTAAAACTCCGCCTGTAGCTCTTCTAGAGTAACTGACGGTCTCAAGCCCGGGTTAAGGAGGACGGTTGTGCATAGGGTTATTTATTATTTATTTGAACACATAAATATTGGTACAAGAGAGCGCCAATATATATGCGCCACACAAAACAATGAGAATGCGAAGAGAAATAGAAAAAAAAGAAAAAAAACTAAGGAGCGCAAAAGAAAAAGAGAACAATAACGAAGAGATTGGTGTAAGGTAGTGTGGTAGTAACGAGGTACAATCAGAAGAAATCTTTCAGGTAAGGGAGACATAACCACTTTTTATGAAGAAAGTAAAAGAAGGTTACAGCAGGATCGCCACTGGCTTCTATTCTGAGCCATATCTGATAACGTCTCTAGCCACTGTGTTGCACCATCTCTCGGACCCCAACCAGGGAGTCGTGAAGAACCAACAGAAGCCAGTCCTTTGTAGCTTTCTTTCATGCCACGACACCATGTCATGCACTGACCACCCCTCCGCTTTTTCCAACCAGTCCCAGAGTCGGCAAATAATGCACGACGTGGAATTCTCTGGGACGATATTCGTAGAACATGTCCAAGCCACCGAAGTCGGTGTTTCAAGATGGTGACACCAATTGAATTATCATCTCTGTGCCCGAACACACGATGCCGAACCTTTGCATTACTGACATGGTGTTGCCACTGAATGTCATCAATCCTTCGGAGACAACGATGATCGAACACAGAGAGTCGTCTAACGTCCTCAACTCGGAGAGACCAGGTTTCACAAGCATAGAGCAAAACTGCTCTCACCGTCGCGTTGTAGATCCGACCTTTTACAGCCAAACTAACATCACGAAGGCGCCAAAGGTGGCCCAGATTGGCATAAGCCGCTCTGGCTTTCACTATTCGTGCATTGATCTCATCACTCACACCCCCACCAGCACTTATGCAGCTACCCAGATACACGAACTTCTCGACTACGTCTATCTGCTCACCATCCATGGTGAGTACAGGATTGGAATCCTGCCAGTCTTGTAGAAGTACTTTGCACTTCGAAGGTGCAAAGCACATACCATACCTACGGACACTGATTGCCAACTGATTAAGTGCGGATTACATGCCTTGGGCATTATCGCACAGTAAGACAATATCGTCCGCATACTCAAGGTCGAGAAGTCTTTCTCCAGGCAACAGATCCACACCGCCATTACTTACATCCATTAGAGCTGTTTCCACAATGTTATCGATCGCAAAGTAGAAGAGGAATGGTGAGATTGAGCAACCCTGCCTAACCCCA